CCCCAAAACCCCAAAACCCCAAAACCCCAAAACCCCAAAACCCCTTGTCATGTTTTCTAAATAGTAATATTCAGATTATTATAATATTTAATACAAATGGCATTCGGAAAGAGTACATTCGTTATAGCTCTTCTTTGCTTTATTGCATTCTCCTCTTTAATTGGCCATGCAGCTGGAAAGAGAATCTCTCAAAGAATTTATCAACCATCATCAAGCCTTACTGCTGATGAACCAAATTATTATGAAAAATTAGGAAATTATACAAAAGAATTTATGAGAGGAGCAAAAATTATTCCAAGAATTCCTTCTACAGAGGAGTGTATTAAAGATGTGATGAGAGTTTATAAGGAGATGTCTGAGGATTATGAGAAAATTCAGAATAAAATCAAAACTAATGGGCTTACTTTTGAAAGTTATCTTGACTCCACCATTGCCATCGGTAAAGCTCAGCCTACTATTAAGATCTGTTTTGACCCTAACTATCAGTTCTTTGATGAGACTCATCAATGGTTGAGTCACTTTAAAAGCACGTGGTCTTTCATCTGGAAATTTACCTTAAATCAAATCTACAGTGGATACAGATGGTTCGAAATCACTAAAGCTTGGAATCAAGCTTATAGTCAGCAAAATATTACTAGGCTTTCCTTTGTTTCTGGAAAAGCTGCTTACGTACTAGTTGATTTTGACGAAGAATTGAGAACTCCTCAGAAGCTTAACCAACTCGAACTCTCAGCTCCCCTCGACATTGCCTTGTTTATTGAGAAACTTGCTTCCAATGTTCTTGTTGGAACATTTGACTTAGTCTATAATTTCTTGGATGGAGCTAAGATTTTTGAGTCCAAATCTGTTGATGTATGCGAAAATGGAATTAAGGACTACAAGAAGGCTTACAGAGATGCTATTGATGAGATTAAGAAGAACACCTATGAATCAATAAAGAATGGATTCTTCCAAATCGCTGATCTTCTTGGTGACTTCCACACCGTCAATGAAAAATGCGTCTCTGGTATTCAAGCTGCAATTGACAGAGTTCATGAGTATAAAAGAATGAGAAGTGCCCCACTCGAGATTTTGAGGAATTTCGTATGGAACCACAAGAAAGTATACAAACATATGATGCAAACAGTCGAGTGTCTTTTCAACTTGGATTCCAAATGCATTGGTTTCAGCTCTGGACAGCTTTTCTACGAAATATTCGCTAAGCACTAAGGTTGGAGATTAATTGCTTCAATATTTCGTCCCAGAAACGGGGTTTTGGGGTTTTGGGGTTTTGGGGTTTTGGGG